AGCATCATCAACCTCAACATCACCATCATCATCATCAGCATCATCAACGGAATAAGCAGCATCGTCACCATTACAGTCATCATCACCATCATCATCATCATCATCATCATCAGCATCATCATCATCATGATCAGCATCATCATCATCATCAGCATCGCCATTCTCAGCAGCAGCAGCATCATCAACATCCCCGTCGTCGAAGTAGTAGTCGTCATCGTCATCGACATCGTCATCACCAGCATCATCAGCAGCATGAACAGCATCCACTGCCTCCTACTCCTGTTAATCATCATCACGATACACTCTTCTGCTTCATCATCATCAGCATCATCAGCATAAGGATCATCATCAACATCATCACCATCACGGTCGTCATCATCATGATCATCATCATCATCATCATCATCATCGTCGTCGTCGTCATCATCATCAAAGAAATCACCATCATCATAAACATACTTATCCGCATCATACTCGGCATCGTCCAACTGCTCCTCGTCTTTCTCCAGCAATAACGCTTATATCATCACCACCATCACCATCAGCATCATCATCATCGGCATCATCATCAGCATCATCATCGTCATCGCCATCATCATCACATCATCATTATCGTCACCGCCGTCGTCATCATCATCATCAGCATCATCATCATCATCATCATCATCATCGTCATCGTCGTCGCCATCATCATCATCATCAGCATCAGCATCAGCATCGTACTACCATCCTCTCATCAGTATCATTATCGTCGGCGTCACCATCATCATGAGCGTTGTCGTCATCATCATAATCAGCATCATCGTCATAATCAGCGTCACCACCGTCGTCTTCGTCATCGTCATCGTCTTCATCACCGCCATGCATAGCATCATCATCGCCACCATCAGCATCATCATCGTCGCCATCATCAGCATCATCAGCATCATCATCGTCATCGTCACCATCATCATCAGCATCAGCATCGTCGTCATCATCATCATCATCATCATCATCATCATCATCATCATCATCATCATCATCATCATCCACCCTCCGATTGGCACAGGAGCAGACGGGCGTGGCGCCAGCCTCGGCATCTCGGATTTCGTGAAACAAGGGCCGAGCCGAATGGGGACCCTCGCTGCGACCGCGCAGTCCCGTCACAAGCACCCCGCGCTTCCCGCCCCCCCTCCATCCATCCTCCCCACGTTCCTCCACATCCTACACGTTCTCATCCTCCACCTCATCCTCCTGCCCACCATCCCACCACCACCACCACCACCACCACAAACACCTCATCATCATCATCATCATCATCATCATCATCGTCATCATCATCATCATCATCATCATCATCATCATCATCATCAGCACCATCATCATCATCAGCATCATCAGCATCATCATCAGCATCATCAGCATCATCATCATCATCATCAGCATCATCATCAGCATCATCAGCGGTACCATCATCATCATCAGCAGCATCATCATCATCAGCATCATCATCAGCATCATCATCAGCATCATCATATTTGTCGTCATCACCGTCATCGACAGCAGCATCATCATCAGTATCACGATCGCCGTCATCATCATCATCATCACCACCACTACCACCACCATCATCATCATCATCATCATCGTCCTAATCATCAGTATCATCATCAGCAGCATAATCATCATCAGCATCATAATCACCATCATCCTATCAGCATCATCATCATCATCGTCATCGTCGTCTTCATTACAATCACCATCAACAGCATTATCATCATCACCATCATCATCATCATCATCATCACCAAGCATCATCATCATCAACAGTATCACCATCACCGTCAACAGGCCCGTCATCGTCATGATCATCATCATCATCATCATCATCATCACCAGCAGCATCATCATGGTCACCAGCATCATCGTCAGATTCATCATCGTCAGCAGCAGCATCATCATCACCATTATCATCATCAAGATAACCATCACCATCATCATCACCATCCGAATCACCATGATCCTTAGCTTTGTCTTCGTCATGAGCCCCCTCGTCGTATGTTTCCATAGCCTTCAGGAGGTCATAGTTATTCGGAGCCGTTAATGTCTCCGTTGGACGGGCGAGCTTCTTGGACGCTCATAGGCCTTCAGGTGGCCCCATTGCCAGCGACGACGCCTTGCGAAAACGGCTTGCACGGTCTCCAAGGTTGCATGTTGAGAACCATCATCGTCATCATCATCATCATCATCATCATCATCATCGTCGTCATCTTCATCATCTTCATCATCATCATCATCATCATCAGCAGCAGCACCATTACCATCATCACCATCACCATCACCATCATCACCAAGCATCATCATCGTCATCAGCATCACCACCATCACCAAGCATCATCATCATCATCGTCATCATCACCATCACCGTCAACAGACCTGTCATCACAATCACCAGCAACACCGTCATCACCATCGTCACCAATCATCATCATCATCATCAGCAGCAACATCATCATCGTACGGCCGAGCTGGCACAGCGCACCGTCGACACGCCCTAGGTTTGGGCTTCGCGGCGCGGGGTGCCAGTTTCAAGATTGGGATGACCAATTGAATGCTGACGCATTTGGCGTCCTTGGACACGATGACCGCGATAGCCAGCGGAGCGTCTTGGATGCGCTGCTGAGGTTATGGAGCACCCTGTTCCAGGGAGCGGGGGGGCATGCCAATGTCGCAACGCACAGCGTGCCAGGCCCGGTTGGGCCCGAGGGTGACAGGCATCGTCCATTTGCTGCCATCCAGGCTGATGGCCGGTTGTCTGGACGCTTTTGGGTAGGGGCCTGGCAAGAAGACGCTGTCGCGTCTGGCCGCGCTGCCTCACGTTGAGCCGTCTTGGAACGCCCGTAGAGAACACTCGTGATGCCCACGTGGTGCCAAGCACAGAGGCTCATTAGCTCCGCGCAGGAGCTTGGGAACGTCAGCGCGGCGCTGCTGGTGGACTCCCTCAAGTTCGTCTTGTGATTTTGCCAGGTCGTTACAGGCCTGCATGGCACGGCCTAGGCCACGGCGACTCTGGAGCGACGCATCGCTGGCCTCCTTGCGCACGATTTTGGCTTCGCCCACATCGACTGCCTGGAAGGCCGACGGGGAACATAGCCCTGAAGTTTCGGCGCCCTGGCGCACGGACCCGCCTCACAGAGCGGAAGGCGCCGCGTGCTCACAGGGGTGGCTGGATGACCTCCCCCTGGCGCGGACCTCCTCCTCCTCCTCCTCCTATCCCCCACCCCCTCCTCCTCCTCCTCCTCCTCCTCCTCCTCCTCCACCTCCTCCTCCTCCTCCTCCTCCTCCTCCTCCTCCTCCTCCTCCTCCTCCGCCTCCTCCTCCTATCCTGCGATCAAACACCGCTGGGGGGCGTCCGCGCCTCCGTGCGCAGAATGGCACCGGCTCGGGCGCGCGCTGGCACGCGCGCCCCCGGCGCCCAGCGCAGAGAGGCGTCGCCGCCTGGGGACGCCCCTCGCAGCGGCCCGCGAAACAAAAAAAAAATGAGAGCTGCGGGAAAGCTGCCAGCAGCTCGCGCACGCCTCCAAGGGGAAGGCAGCAGCGGAGTGCCACGGCTGGGAGCCTGCACGCGCCCGATCGCTCGCCCGGGGCGGCGCCTGAGGGCAAGCGGCCGAGCGGGCCTGGCGAAGGGTGATCCAGGCGGTCGTTGCTCACTGCACGTGAGGGCGGCGCTGGTGCTCGCCGCGGGCGTGCTGGCTGGGGCTCGCATCCCGCCGCCGGTGGGCCAGTGCGGCCCGTGGAAGTGGGGCGGAGCTCGCATCCCGCCTGCACAGTGAAGCAACGTGGCTCTTAGGAGTAAGCCGATGCAAGCATCCCACCCCCAGCGGGCCGACACGGATCGAGGAAACACTGAACCATGGACCTGGTGGGACTCGGGGCAGAGCACAGGACGGTGGGCGTCCCACACATGGTCGTCAGGGTCGTGCTATTGGTCCTGGTCGTGCTGTTCACCGATTCGCGGCTGGTGCCGGTCATGGTGGTCAGCGACAGAGTACTAGATCTGGTACTCCCCGACGCGCACATCGTCAAGGTGCCAGCACCCATCGTGCAGCTCAACGGCGTGGTGCTCGCAGCAGTGTCCGTCCCGCTGGTGCACGTCGAGGCGGTGGTGCGCCAGATCGTGCGTTCAGAGATGTGCTGCTGGCACCAACCGTGGTCGGCAACGTGCTGCTCAGCGTCGAGATGCGAGTAGATGGGGGAGTGCTCGCCTCACTCGTGGTCGTCAGGGTCGAGCTGTTACTCCTGGGCGTGTTGCTCACCGATTCGCGGCTGATGCAGGTTATGGTGGTGGTCAGCGACGTGATGCTAACAGTCGTACGCGTCCCACCCATGAGCATCAGGGTCGAGCTGATGCTCTCGAGCATGCCGCTCGATGCGGCCAATGCGGCTCGTGGAAATAGGAAGAAGCTCGCATCCCACCCCCAGTGGGCCAATGCGGATCATAGAAGCACTGACCAGCGTACGTCGTGGTGCTCGACTCGGTCATGCTGCGCAGTGTCGAGGTGCTGGTCCCTGATGTGCTGCACGAAAACACGATGCTCGTTGCACTGCTCGTCTCGCTCGTAGGCTGCTGGTGATGGACTCCGTCGTGCTGCTCGACGTCGTGGTGCTCGACTCCATCGTGCTGCTCGTGGTCGAGGTGTTGATCTTGGGCGTGCTGCTCGAAGACGTGGTGCTCGTTGCAATGCTCGTCTCACTCGTAGATGTGAGGCTGCTGGTGCTGGATCTGGGAGGGAGAGAGAAAGAGAGAGCGAGAGAGAAAGGAGGGAGGGAGGGAGGTGGGAGGGGAAAGCGAGAAGGAGGGAGGATGGAGGAGCGAGCGAGAGGGACCCCTCAGAACGTCCCCCAAAAGCCATCTAGAGCAGAATGCAATCCTCCTCCCGCTATCTAACCATCCATCCCCCGTCATCCTCCATCATCCCCCCTTCTCCTTCACGATCTTGGAACTGGTGGACCTGGACCAGCGGGAGTGCACCGGGGGTCCCCCGTGAGAAGCGATGGCAAAGAGAGCATGATTGTGCCCTCGCCGCGACGACATCTGACAAGGCACAGGGAGGAGGCAGCGTCCGGGGCATCCTGTCTAAGCTCCCCCCTCCTTTTCCTGTGAGGGGGACAAACAAACAGCATTTATGGCTCGCCGCCGTGCGGAACCTACAGGGCAGTTTTTGAAACATATGATTTTATACAAAAATCTAGTATTTAGAATACATGATTAGTTTATGTATAAACTCATGCATGAGCTCATCGTTGCTTCAATACTAAATCCCTGCGTTTTTTATACATGATCCGCACGCGGAGCACGTATTAAAAACAGCACTGTATCAGCGTGCTCCTTTGGAAGGCCTATGTGTTCGGACGCTAGAGAAAAAATGTAATATGCCTACGGGTTCCAAACAGCAGCGCGTCGTGGACACTTTATCTCCCGATGACCTCCTCCCCTCCTCCGCCTCCTCCTCCTCCTCCTCGTCCTTTTTCTCCTCCCCCTCCTCCTCCTCCCCCTCCTCCTCCATCCCTCCCCCGATTGCTTATACAAGCGATCATTGCTATACTTATGTTTTATAACCTGAGACACTTCGCATGACCAAACATGTCTATAGGGCGGGTTGGACGTTTCGCCTCAGGCCCCCGCACCACCCATGACCCCGAAACATCAAGCGGAAACGGGGATGGGCCTCCAATTGTGCACGGGGTTGAAGTACAAGGGTACAGAACCCCTGATCCGTTGGTAGAGGGAAGGAGGGAGAGATGGATATATGTTCCTCCTGCACGATCAAAGGTCTGATCGACCTATCCCAATACCTGAGCCCAAACGGCCAGGCGCAGGAGAGGTGAGGATAAGGAGTATATATGAGGGTACTACACGGGTTCTATTCACACCCCGTCCCGAATCCCGCCCGTGAGGGCAGGACTCGGGAACAGAGGAAAATATCCCGTCACCCTTTTACTCCTCCAATCATCAATTATGTCAGGCAGCTGGGCACAAGATGTGTATAGCTTCAGCTGAGTCCCAATCGCGATAGCGCTCACGATTAGGCAAAGTAAGGTAAGAAAGAACACCCAGGGCCCCTGTTTCTTCGCCAAGCACGCTTTGGTGCCCCCTCGGCGCGCCCCCCAAAAACGCTTCGGCACTCGAGGGCGGAGAAGGATGAGACACGGGTGGGCGGAGAAAGAGGATCTGAGCCAGTTGAAGCAACATCAGAAGCTGCCGCGCCTAAGCGGGGCAGGTGTTGCCACCAGCTCTCGGTCGAGAGCTGGGCATCATATCATTATCAACGCAATGCAAGCAAAGTCTAAAGAGTAAACGATACAAAAATGTATTATGAGGTCGTGCTGATGAACACAATCGCGTTTAGAAACACGTCTAACGCTTAAAGCAAAATGTGCATATGAAAAGGTGTATGGCCATACGTAAAGTCGTGTTGTGAAACAAGAAAAGTTGCATAAACAAGCTCTGCATGTCGTTACTCCCCTCGGCGGTTATCCTTAGGAGGCTGCCTTGGGTTTAACAAGGATAGGTGTGGCCACTTTTCTTGGATAGTGAAGTGGCCTAAATGATGTATTAACAGCCGCTCGATGCGAACTTGTATAATGATGATGTTCTAGCCTATCGAGCGGTGGGCCTGGCGGCCGACTAGACTACGCGTTACCCCTCTCGTAGAACCTGTGGTCCCACATCCTGTGGCCATCATACGAGACGTAGCTCGTCGCGAAGGTCTCCCAGGGCGTCCTTGGGATCCAGTGGCGGAGCCAACTATTGTACTGGATGTCGCGTACGTATACAAACTCGTCGTTGTTGTCCGTGGTGTACATCCAGCAGTTGATGCAGTAGCTCCAGTATCTGGGGCCCCATTGGCTGTCCTCTAGGTTGTCGCGCCACCGCGTAGCGTAGTCCTCCGTCGTGCGCGCCCTCTTGGCGCGAGGAGGTGTCGCTGGTCTGCGGCCGTCGTCGCTGTCCTGCCGCTGCGCGGCAGCGCCGCGCTGCCCAGCGGGCATGTAGTCCTGCACGCCAGAGGCGCTGGACCCTGCAGCGTCGCCAGGATCAGGGCGCGGCGGCGGCGGCGGGTGCCGCGGCTGGCATGGCCCCATGGCATCATCAGAATGTGGGGAGTGTATATCAGGTTCGATCGGATCGGTTCTCATCCCTGAATCAACCCCCTCTGGTCAGTGGAACCCAAGGCGGGCTCAATGGAGGCAAGCACGGCAAGCTTGCGCTGCGTGACTCTCTCACGAGTACCATCCCCTCTCGGAAGGGCAATCGTGACAAGTCAGCGCTTCCCTCGTGCCTCGATTGAGTCTGCCTGCGTTCAACCACCATTTCTTCCGACCAGCTTGGCCAGTCCTGACGCTGTGATCGAGAATCTCGCAGGCGTCTCGCATATCCTCGATGGTATAAGCCTTCTTGCCTTTATTGATGCGAGCGCCTGTCATCTGGTGGTGGAACTTCATATCATTCAGGAAACGCTGAACGATGTTGGCAAAAGGGTGGCATAGAGGTCTGTCGTCCTCACGCTCACCCATCAACCTGCACATGCGCGCAGGAGGGGAGCCTGCGGCGACCCACTTCTGATACCTCTTCTTAGCAGAATTTGCCAATCTCCTCAGCGTGTCCTTCCCATGACCTGGAATGGAGCGCTTACCCATCATCAGGACCTGCGCCCCATCTGCCATGTACCTCGTGATGTCGTCCTGGGAGAGCGTCGTCCTGATCCAGTGGGCCAACTTCTGGAGGTGTGCCAGGTCGCTCTCGACGGCGGTACTTTTACCCGTAGCACCAACGGCAACAGTGTACTGCCAGCAGGTATCACAAATGGTACCTTCATCTGTAACGATCCCAAGAGACAAGAAACGATCGCAATTCCGACATCGCACGGTATCACGATGGATATCCCCTGGGGGGCCGTTAATCGTGAGGTGCTCACGAGATCCCCAGCGAGTGTCACGACCACTAGCGAGAACGCGGCCGATCTGATCCATGGCATCGCGGTTGATCTCGGCGGTCGGACGGGAGGCGATCGACCGGCTCATCCCCTCGATCTCGATCCTAGACAATATTTCCCCTGGCAGTCCTACGCGCTCGGTCGTGTCGTTGTCCGCGTTGTCAGTATCACAATGGCATACGTTTTCTGTACGGATACGGTTAGTCTCTTCCTGCAAGGCGGACTCGTTGTCGCCCTCTTCGCGGTCGATCCCCTTCTGCTGGGCTATGATCCGTACCATGGTTTCTTGATCTGGAGCTGCGGATGCAACGCTGCCTGGGTCCTGGGGAATATCCTGCTCCGCGCCTGGGCCCTCATGCGGCGCGGCAGGTGTTTCCACCAGCCCCCTCCATACGGGGAAGCCTGGGTTGCCAAATGTCTGGATACAATGTGCAAATAGATCACGCAACGTCTTGAGTGCAGGGTGGTTCTGATGAATAGCATCTTTTGTCGCCTGTAGTCGACTCCTCGATGACCACTGGGTCCAGGTAGTGCACCAACTTTTTGAGGAAGCTATCTGCACTGCAAATCGGTAAGTCACGTGCCCATTTGTGGGTATGATTGTAATCCAAATAGTATGTCTCTGAATTGTATGTTTTGGATCCAAATTGCATGTCAAATCGTAAGTATGACTGTATCTTATCCACCACAATATTGTCCCTGCCAGTATGCACCTCAATGATTTGTTTCACCTTTATCATAAGTGAATCCACCAATAACTCCGACGTCCAGCGGTATATGCGGTGGTCATAGGCGTGCTTGGTCCACCTTGTATCTTCCTCTGGGTCGTAGTCGGGATGGTTGAGGAAGTCCTCTGGCGGGTCGATGCTGTTATCGAGGATGCTCGAGCCGACGTCCTCATCAGCCTGGATCTCTGCTGATAAATCTGCCCTCGTGTTGTCATTCGCTGCTTTTTCTTCGTCTGTGAGTGGGATGTTCGAAATATCCACGATGACAGTAACCAGAGGCTCAGTAGATTGGCCTGCCCTTTGTTGAGATCCATCGTCTGCGGCAGTATGATCCTCGGCAGGTGTGGCCACCAGCACTTCGGGATCGGGTGTCCGAGGAGCGGGGCGTCTGGTCGGCGTACGTGGGATACGTGGCCTATAAATGCTCGGCATGCCAAGATATGGTAGATCACCAGAAGTTCTATGTTGCTGTACCTGGTCGCGACATGAAGATGGGCCTTCCAGCGCAATATTCATCTGCGTCGAGTCGATGTCGATACGTATTGGCAAAGCAAAGACAACACCCTTGAGAGGCATGTTTCTGCCGTTGTACCATATGTTTACCCATCGTAAACCGCAGTTGAGGATAGGCACTTGTACCGCAAAGAACTTGTCGAAGACGCCAAAATGAATAATTGGTCCATAAATGTGGCCCTTGTTCATGAGCACCTTGGTTCTGTGGTTGCCCTTGGGTAGTGGTTGTCATAATGGCAACAATTGGTAGATCCCCAATTCTTAGTGACAATGAAGCCCCCCATGCGAACATCATTAAATATAGGTCTACGATTCCAATCTTTCTGTGTGATCTTTGATGTAATGGGTCGAATGGCTTCTCGGCAGTATGACAAGGCTATCAACCATTATTTGTCCTGTGTGTTGTGCTCGCAACTGTCAATCATAGCACGGACCGTCGTTTCATCCAAAGCGTCGGCGTCGGATGCACGGCCAGCAGGGGGCGCCCCCAGCTGAGGGGCGATCGGTCGCTGAGCCGATGATGATGATGCGAACGGCGTCTTTGGCTGCTGGTCCATGTCTTGTTCCATGTCAGTTGGTGCAATCCCGGGAGGATCGTCGATGATCTCCTGCCCAGGAAGAACGGCGCAAATTTCGCATTTGCTCAATGGTTGTCTCGCGGCCAATGGCGGGTAGTCCCAGGCCAGGCCCTCCGGCCATATCTGCCGGCCGTGCTCATGGCGTGGTTGGAGACGGCGAATTGCAATGACTGCAGCGGCGGGAACCACATCTTCTGTCACAATAGCACCTTGGGCGCCCAGCCAAAATCTGCAACCAGCTTTTGTGGCAATCTCCATGTTGATCACCAGCTCGACCTCGTTCTTGTAGTGTTTGAACTTGTATGATTGTACCGA